ATAATGACACTCTTATCAGAATAGCCCAAAATAGGCAGCAGTTCTGTGCTGAATGCTGGGAGTGGGGGCAGGTGCAAGCACCCTTACACCAGGCATCTTTACGCCAGGCACCCTTACACCAGGCAGCCTTACACCAAGCACCCTTACACCAGGCATCTTTACAACAGACACCCTTACACCAGGCATCTTTACAACAGGCACCCTTACACCAGGCATATTTACACCAGCAGCCTTACACCAGGCAGCCCTCCCTGATCTCCCCCAAGGCATCCAGGGACCATAGAAGATGAGTGTGAGGAGGGCACACAGCAGCCTTGTTAGGGGCGTCACACCCATGCCCTCCTGGGCAGTTAGCACCAGTGTGAGGGGGCACACAGCAGAGGACCAGACCACTGCCAGGGCATAGGTCATGCTCTCAGCATTGAAGAGGTCAGAACCACTTGATGGCATGTGAAACATGGGAGATGAACAACACACACCAGACCTTATAGACCTGACACCTGTTACCCAAGTACCTGTGTGTGCCCTGTGCAAACAGGAGCATGTGCCCCCCCCCATGGCCCAGTTAATCCCTAAAGGATTCCAATGTTGCTCCTCAGGGTGCTGGTGTTGGGAGGTCATTAGGTCATGGGAACTCAACCCTCAGAAGGTGGTTCTCATGGGATCCTTGGATTAACTAGCTATAAGAGAGTCATACAAGAGCAATCATGGGCCACCCAATTCTCTGCCAGATTATGTAATCTTTCATTTACACACACACATACACACACACACACTCAGCCATGATGGCATTCATCAAAAGGGCCTTCCTCATTCATCTGTCAGCCTGGTCTTGCATTTTGCCTCCAGTGTTTCCTTATAGTACTAGAAAAACATCACAGTTATTGCCTAGGAGAGATGGAAACTGAGAGGAAGTAAATAAATGAAAAGAAGGGTGGAATAAGAAAAAAAGACCACAGAATGAATTATCTCGTTAGCACCTCTGTGCAAGGTGGCAAAGAGGTGCGGGCCATGCAGACATGAGGACCTGTGTTGGGGTCGGTTGTCGCTAGCTCCTCTATAAAAAACCATGCATGGCTGTGAAAGACCCCTGGAGGCTCAGGCCCCCAGGATCTTGGCTCAGGACTGTGGCCACCCCAATCACCAGGCAGAGTTGAAAGCTTGATGCAAACAGCAGGAGGCTTTTAACATGGGGTTAATGAGCTAACCTCATGTTAGCTCAGGCCTTTCATCCATCCACCATGGCAGATGGCTAGCAAAGACGTCGAGAAGCCACCGCATAGAGACCTTATAGGGCAGTGTAAGGGGAGTGTCTAGGGGTACGCACAGGCTCAGGATTGGTGTGCCTCCAGCCTTGGAGGACTTGCCCTGTGTTGATTGGTCAACTGGTTGTTATGGCCCATAGCCCCTCCCAGGGTGGTTGCTATGCTCTGTGCGTCATTGCTGTGCACTTGTCCATAAAGCACACCCAGAGCCATAAAGCATAGCACCACCAGCTAACTTCTGATTGGTTCCTTGCCACAAGGCAGGCATCTGACCTCCCTAGTGACCAAGGCAAGGTCAGGCAAACACGTACTAAGCTGTTATGGCTGCCGAAATGGGGAGCTGGTCCCTTCAGGTGCACATGTCTGTAATCCAGCACTGGAGGAGACGAGACAGTATGGTACCTGGGCTTGATGGCTAGTCAGTTTAGAGCCCCCAGGTTCAATGCAAAACCTGCCTCTAAGACTAAGGTGGAGAATGACTAAGGAAGACACTTGAGACAACTTCTGGCCCTCATGCACACACACAGAGTGCAAAGTGTGGCAATCCCTCTGTCAAGTATGACAAGGCCTCAACTCCCAGTTTGTTCAGCCCAGTTTTCCAAGATGTCTGCACTCCAAAAGAAGAGTGGCCCTACCTACCCTGTAAAAATACAACCAGGAAGTTGAACTTGCCCCTCCTATCTCTCCCCTTGTCTACACCTTGTCATGTCTCCACATCTAGCCACAAAGGAGGCTAGGCACTGAAGAACTTATTCTAATTAGCACATGTCCAACCTAGAGCATTCTATCTCTGAGACAGTGGAGAGGGCGCCAGCCGGACCTGCCACTGCCGGCCTTCCTGCCTCTCACCCTACATTACCTCAGCCAGCAATGTCTGTGCCTAACATTCGGCCACCAAGGTGAGTCTGTAAAACCTCTCCAGGCCCCGGGTACTGTGGTTCAAGACTTCATACCCTATCTCTCTGGGCCCTCTCTGGGCCAGGAAGGATTCCCTGCTGGGTCTGTTGATGTCTCTTCTCACTGTGTTTTGTTCAGCTGTCAATTCTTCATATGACCCTGAATCACAAAATGAAAATAAACAAAAAGGGCCAGGGACTGGCTATGGCCACCCTTTCTCAAGTCATCCTTCCGTAGTTTCACACAAAAGGGGCGGGGGTCAGGTAGGGCCAGGGGTCAGGTAGGCTCGCCATGGTAACCAGGACCATAGAGATGACCTTGAGTGTAATGGGTTAGCCTAGACCTGCCACCCAGACCTCCTTCCGATTCATGTGTGTAGGCCAGCCTTAGGGACAGAGTGGGATCCCAGTGGGTCAGAGTGGACCTAGTGGATCACACTGGGATGGACGGTCTGTGTTCTTTAAGATTAAGGACCCACTATGTAATGGAAGTCAGGAGAGAGGCCCAGTGAGGTCCTGTTCCTGCCTCTGGTTTTCTTTGTCCAGATACTTCCTCCTCCTCCTTTGGACCTCAGTTCAGAAGAAGCCTTCTCCGACCCCACCCTTTCCCCAGTCACCATTCAGGATTTCTCTGAGTCTCCAAGGTCCTGTGTACTGTGTTAGAGATGAGAGACGCCTCTTCCTACCTCGCTTGGATCAGAGTTCACACTGGGCATGGGTATAGAGCAGGTAGGCACAGTTATTTCTACAGGTGAGAAAATAGAATCAGAAAGTTAGCTCACCCTCCAGCAGGGTAGACAGAGCCTGTGGCAGAGGCCAGGGCTGCCTCCAGTGTCTGGCCTTGGGTTTGCCACTATGCCCCTGGAATAGGATGAAGCTTTATTAGAACTGTACTTATCCACAATTCAGTCTATTACCATGTTGTGTTAGATGCAACTCCACATAAAGTGTACTCTGGGAAAAGGCAGCAATGCCTTGTGTGTGACTCTCAGAGGGTGTCCCAAGGGGCCTATTTGGGAGCCAGGCAGTCCTGAGGGTCCTGGCCTGGTTATCTGTCCCAGAATCTAGCTCTCATTTACCTCCTCAGCGTTCCAAACTTCAAGTTTTTGTTTTTCTGAAACAGGGTTTCATTGTGTTGGCTAGCTGTGGCTGTCCTGGAACTCGGTTTGTTGACCAGGCTGGCCTCGAACTCACAGAGATTTTTGTGTTTCTCACTTCAAGTTTAAACCCTTGTTTAAACTTTTGTTACCCATACCAGAAGTTCCTCTTTCCTAGTGTTGATCTGAGATGGGCAAAGGGCTGTTTGACAGGCTTAACTTGGAGGTGTACATGTCACACAAGTAGGAAATCCATTTCTAAAGTAGTTGCTAACAGCTGGTGACAGATGGACAAATGACCCACTGTGCTGTCTGGTGGCTATCAGAACCTGGGGGCAGGGACATTGGAAATTGCTTCACCAAGCATATTTTTATTCCCTTCCTTCTTTTTGTCACTAATTGTTCCTTTCCCTTGGCCCTTCTACCCCCATTCTGGCTCTTGGGGTAGAACTTCCAGAACAGATCTGGGGTTCCCCACTGCTTATGGATGCCTGTTTCCCCTGCAGGCCTGAAGTCGGGGTCTCTGGACATAGATATCTGAGCTGGCAGGTTTCTGTGAAACAGCTTGGAAAATGTTGTGCCACTCTGGCTTCTGCTGGCCCCAGTGAGACATCTGTAACACTTCAGATTGTCCCCTGCACCACAGGATCTGTTTGCTTGAACTTGTGAATGTCTAAAAACTCTCCCAGGTGCACAGCCTATCAGCCCTGAGACCCTACACAGCCACAGTCCTCGGCCTACACTTCTCCACAGAGGAAATGAGAATGATGATTGTGCCTTCTCAAGACTGACCTGAGGAGGAAGTGAGAGGCCATCACAGAAAGACAAATACTAGATAATTCTACTTACATGAGATTCCTGAACTCACTGAATCCACATAGGCAAAGAGAATGGCAGTTGGGCGGGGGGCGTGGAATGAATGGTTTCTCTAATGTATACAGGGTTCCAGTTTTGCAAGATGCTATAGAAAAGTCTTAGCGACGGATGTTATGATGGTGGCACTCACTATAAATGCATTTAATGCCCCTTACTGTACACTTTAAACTGGATCAAGTGATATTATGTTCCATAATTTTTACCACAGCTTAGAAAAATAAATGGTTTTGAACTGAGCAAAATTCCAGCACTTAGGAGGCAGAAGCAGGAGGATCTCTGTGAGTCTGAGGCCAGCCTGGTCTATGAATTAAGTTCCAGGACAGACAGGGCCACACAGAGAAAACCTGTCTCAAAAAAGTCAGCAAGATGGCTCAGTAGGTAAAAACACTTACCACCTAGCCTGACACTGTGCACAAGAGCAAAACAATGTTTCAGAAATCTCAGTAGGCAGGGCTGACCACTGTGTGCAGGGTCCCCTTTACTGCTCTCCATAGCCCCTCAGAACGCATTCCTTTTTCTTTCTTTCTTTCTTTCTTTCTTTTTTTGTTTTTTTTTTTTTTTTTAGGTTTTTTTGAGACAGGGTTTCTCTGTGTAGCCTTGGCTGTCCTGGAACTCACTTTGTAGACCAGGCTGGCCTCAAACTCACAGATCCACCTGCCTCTGTGTCCCAAGTATGGGGATTAAAGGGGTGCACCACCCAGCTCAGAATGCATTCTTTTCCTATTTACTAAAGAAACCAAGGCCAGGGAGAGTGGGCTCCAGGTCACAGGTCCTGCCCCCCACCCCAGGCCTGAGAACCACATCCTCTGCTACTCCCCCCTCAAGCCCTCCCTGATGGGGTTCTAACCTGTCCTGTCCTCCTGCAGGCACCGCAGGGCTCTACCAAGGCACCAACGGATTGACCAACACAGCCGGATTTGGGAGCGTGCACCAGGTAGTCATGGCGCCTGCCAATTCTCTTCTCAATTCTTTCTTTCAGTGTTCCCCTTAGCTCAAGGTGCACAACAGAGCCACCTCACACACACAGTCCCCACCAAAAACATGGCCTCTTAGCCCTGCCTGGGTATGGGGATTCCAGGGACCAGAGTGTACAAAAGGCCACTAGAAATAAAATTACAAGATCCCCAAGCTGTCAGGTCCGATCTTACCTGAGGTGAAAGCATCTAGGAGCTCTTGAATGTGGGCTGTGAATGGTGTGTGTGTTTTCCCAGGACCATGAGCCTCTCAAGGGGAAAACACATCTGCTCCCTCTGCACCCATTGGGGGCTTCAGCATTGCCTCATGGGATGCTAGCCACTGTAGACTTCACTCTGTTTCCCTGCAGTCTGCTAAGAATCAGTCTAGGAAAGAACTGGGTGTGGTGGTGCACACTGTAATCCAGCCATCAGGAGGATGAGGCATGAGGACCAGGCGTTCAAGGTCATCCTTAGCAATATAGTGTGCTCAAGGCCAGCCTGAGCTACATGAGACCTTGTCTCAGACAGCCTAAAGAAACAATTGTCTGGGGGCTGGTAGGTTGGCTTGGTGATTCAGAATAGCAGAAGACTGGAGTTTGGTTCTCAGGGCCACCTCAGGTGGCTTACAGCTGCCTGGAGCTACAGCTCTAGGGGACCTGGCACCTTCTTCTGGTCTCTGTGGGCACCTGCATGCACGTGGTATACAACTGTATGGACACATACACAAAAAGGGCTTGGAGAGAGAGTTCAGTGGTTAATAGCCCTGGCTGCTCTTTCAAAGGACCCCGGTTCAATTCCCAGCACCCACACGGCAGTTCCAGGGGATCCAATGCCCTCACAGGCATACATGCAGATAAAACACCAATGCACACAAAATAAGAATAAATAGATCATTTTTTTAAAAAAGGAAAGAATTGGCCTAGTGGGGGTAGAGTGTATAGCTCTACCAGCATGCTTGAGGCCCTGGGTCTCATCTTCAGGACTTGGGGGGTGGGGGCAGGGGGACTTGCTAAAGGACCCTCTTATATATACTTCCTGTAAATCTAAAATTCTCTCAAAACCAAAGGTCCATGTGTTTGTAACACAGAGAAGTGCAAGGAGAAATTCTTAAGTCTAGGTATCTGTTTCACTCTAATGCCTTTCATAAATTCAGACTCCCCAGAAATTCTGACTTAGCAGATACGAGCTGGGGCCCAGGGCATAGAGCTTTCTATGAGATCCTTGTGGGTAAATCCCTGGCTGGTGGTGCTCGCTGATGGTAACGATGGTGGTAGCTACAGTGATGGTCATGGTGGTGATCATGGTGGTGGTGGTAGCTACTGTGGTCTTGGTAGCGTTGACAGAGATGGTCGTGGTGGTCGGGAGATGGTAGCCATGGGGATGGGATGGTGGTAGTGATGGCGGCGGTGATACAGAAAGGGTGATGGTGATGCAGATGGTGATGGTGGTGGTCATGATGGGGTGGTAGTTGTTACTGTGGATTTGGTGGCCATGGTGATGCAGATGGTGATGGTGGTGGAGGTGATGAGGATGATGACTGTGACTATGAGCCGAGTGTTTGAAACAATGATGGCTGGCGCTGGAGGAGAACCACCCTGTTGAACTTAGTGTAGGCTGACTGGCATTTCCTGATGAGGTATATTCTGAACCCTCAATATTGTAGGAGCTGCTGCGTTTGTAACTTGTTCCCTGAAATGTTGCCCACCCCCGAGTCTGCGCCTCCTTCATTGTCCGCACATCTTTGAAGTTATTGTGAGTGCTAGGTCCAGATCTCATGGAGACACAGCACTGACCAGGAGACTGCCAAGGCCACACCCTGTTCTCCAGGGTCATCAACCAACCTCCATTGTCAAGCGCTAAGTGTGTAGGGCAGGCAAGAAGTGCCAGGGAGTTCCCCTCCATCCCGCATCCCCACCCCCAGCCTGGAGAGCTACTCTAAAGATGGCTAGACTCAGTGTGTCCACATCACAGTTCCTACCCCCTGGGAGAAGCAGGTGTGAGTGGGGATTCCCACCACCTCCGCCTTCCCTGGGGCTCCCCCTGCCCACTCCTGTGATGGCCAACACAGGGCCACCGTTTCCACGCTGGGGCCTCACCCCTCCTTCCCCGTGTCTCCTCCACTTTCAGCCTGCACCACCTGCACTTGGCTCTTGGGTCAGATTCCATTTATGGGAAAACCAAATGGCAATGGTCTGGATGGTCGGTGTTTACTCTGAAGAGAAAGCCGGGCCTGCCGGGCCTAGCGCCTCCTCACTCAACCCCTGTCTGTTTTTCTCTTGCCAGGATTACCCCTCCTACCCCGGCTTCCCACAGAACCAGTACCCCCAGTATTTCAGCCCATCCTACAGCCCTCCCTACGTCCCTGCCAGCAGCCTCTGCTCCTCGTCCCTCTCCACGTCCACATATGTCCTCCAGGAGGCTCCTCACAACGTCCCCAACCAGAGTTCTGAGTCACTACCCGGTAAGTCCCCTTGCCTTTGCTCTCATTCGTGCCTGTGGTCTGAGCTCCCATGTGAAGATTTGTGAGCTGTGGTCCACTTGCACAGTCTTCTGTCATCACCTCTCTGCCCTTGGTAATGCGCATTTATTAAGCTCCTGCTGTTTTCCAGGCATTCCTTATTTTGAACAACTATAAAGGGCTCTGGAGATTTTTTTTAAACATTGATTTATCTTTATTTTTTACATGGCATGAGACTGGAGTTACAAATGGTTGCAATGCACCATGTGTGGGCTGGGAACTGACCCCAGCATCTCTGTGAGAACAGCAAATGCATTTAGCCATTGAGCCATCTCTACAGCCCTGGGGGCACTGTCCATTTGATCTTTGTAGACTGGAATCACACAGTCACTGGATACAGTTAGAAGTTGTAGTAAATCGCCGCAATCCCCAACCCCAACCCCTTCCACACAGAGCAGTACAAATCCAAGGAACAAGTCCTTGACTAGTAACCATGGTGCTGAGACTTGAACCCAGGCCCACGGGGCTTCATCTTCTGTGCCCAGCTACTCATTGGCCATGCACAATGCTGAAGCACACAGCTGGCAGGGCTGGCGGGGGATGGAGGACCTAGAGCGACAGCTCAGCGGTGAAGAATGCTTGTTCTTTCAGAGGGCTGAGTTTGTTCTCAGTGCCCACCGGGCATGGCTCACCATTGCCTGTAATCCCTGCCCCAGGAGATCTGACACCATCTTCTGGACTCTGCAGGCACTGGACAAACACACACACACACACACACACACACACACACACTAACATACACACACACACACACACACACACTAACATACACACACACACACTCACAGACACATACACACACACACACACACACTAACATACACACACACACACACACACTAACATACACACACACACACACACACTAACATACACACACACACACACACACTAACATACACACACACACACACACACTAACATACACACACACACACACACACTAACATACACACACACA